CATGTCGGTGGGGCATTTGGAGTTCATGTACGACCAGTCGCCGGAGAGCTTGAGGAGCAGCGCCACGGCACTGTACTGGTTGGCCATCTCGGCTGGGAACTACATTGGGACTTTGATGGTGTATGTTGTGCATAAGTACAGTGGGGAGAAGCACAATTGGTTACCTGATAGGAATCTGAACAGAGGGAGGCTTGAGTATTATTATTGGGTTGTGAGTGGGATTCAAGTGCTGAATCTTGTGTATTATGTGGTTTGTGCTTGGTTTTATACTTACAAGCCTTTGGAGGAGGAGAGACAGAACAGTGATGGAGAGGGAGATCAGTGTGAAGATATCACGAAGACAGCTTAAGAGAGTTGTGTTTTGTGTTCTATGTAAGGGAAAATGTGGTAGCTAGGTTAGAGTTTTATAATTTGACTAGATTGCTTTACAAAGAAATTGTAACTTCTTCCCATCAAGCAAACTTCAGCTCTCTTAGTTATAATTACTTTTCATAAAGGTTGCATCACATGATTAAGATTTAGAAGTTTTATTAATAACGTGGTTTGAAAAGTATTTACAAAAATAGTGTAGAAAAATCACTGCGATTTCATATAGAACATGTCCCATGGCTACGAGTGATCCGCGATTTAACACGAAGTCGCATTCCATCTGGGGTAGGGAAACCGCATGCAACAACCCATTAGTAGTTTCTCCAAAAGGTTGCCTAAATAATGTAGCGGTAAAACTAATTTTTTGGGGATTGTGGACTATGTTTAATATGTTTTGTACTAGATACTTTTTAAAAAAATTTTGAGGCTATTATGTTCAAAATTTTGAGATTATTATGTTCATTTTTTTCATATTTTCTATTGTTTAGCTGATTTGGAAGTGTTGTTAATAACTTCATCCTCAAACATTTTAAATATGGTACAACTATTACCCTATTGTTTTTGTTTGATCTAATTATTGTTGTCGAAAATTTTAAGTATTTCTCTTTTCATTGGCACGTTGTCATTAAGTATTTCTCTTTTCTAACACGCATCATGTCTAGCTGCATACATATTTAAAAAAGAACAAAATATTTACACATACAATTCAAAGCGTAATTTGAAGTTGATTGTTATAAGATTTGTAAACTTACGTAAGCTGTCTCTGCGCCTTCGACCCAACCTTTAGTGTTAGAGTATCTCGTCTCTCTGAACAGATCGATTTTAGAAAAATTGTCACCTCCCTCTTCTTTCTGCAATTGATAACACATAATTGTTGATAATCGATCTTAAATAATATAAGTATATGGCTACAAAACTATTATTGCATTGTACCTTCTCCTTCACAATAATAGCAAACGCCTTCGTCCCCGCACGATGGTTGAATGACATCTTCGCCCTGTTGCGTTTGTTGGTCTCAGATTTTTGCTAACAAAAGAAAACTTACATGAGAATATATATTGAATATAAATTCTAAAAAAAAAGTATAAGTTATATTCGTAAATTACCTTCCACTCATCTGTCTCTCATCTATCGTACAGTATGTTCCAATCGTCTGGTCTTGCCAACAACCACTCTGGCGGATTGTTGCGAGCAATCTCAGGTGTGGGATGATCCAGGTAGTGTTGGCGCAATTTTGCCCTATACGCCTTATGTGTCGATCTCATCTCATGCTCAATGAATTTCATCATAACTCGGTCTGATTCGTTGAAATCGAAATGACCCTATAACAAAGAAAACACCGAACATATATTTAAGTGTTATTACTGTTGCATCGTAATAAATGATAAAAAGTATTAAGTAATTAATCTTAAACCTTGAGCTGGGTTATAATTGCCCTCTTCTGACTTTCGTCAACCTCACTCCACTTATTAACCTTTAGGTCTATTTGTTCATTTGTTCGTGTGTATGTACCCCGATCACGATAGAGAATGTGGTGGCCATGGGATATATTGGTTTATTCACTATGCAGTCACATTCGATATGTACCTTTGCATTCGTTGCACGAACTTGATTTTCTAGGTCTATCAATCGGGTATATCCTCGAACGTCTGTTCTATTTGTATGTTGCCAAACATTAAACCAATTAGTTAAATCAAACTTATTTATTTTACATATATTTAAATTGATGTACCAAGAGGAAAAATCGGAACAGGCGAGTCTGTTGGTGAATGATCACGATCCTGTATGTGTGCCTTTAACTGACTTGCTTGGTCTGGTCTCATTTTTCTGCGAACTTAGGCATACAACGAAAAGTATTATATATTGACAAAACAAATACTCAACATAAATCAATTTGATGCGTAATTTATCCAATATATATTTAAATCGACATACTTGGAGGAATACTTATTCGCTATTGTACTCATCATCAACATCATCTATACTATTATTAGTTGACGCGTCCCCATCGTCTGACTCATCATTTATAAAATCCACATTGCTCGTATCTATGCTTCTATTGGACTGTTCTCAACCCACAACGACAATAAGATCAACATCATCTCGACTCAATGAACTATCTTGAGTGGATTCATATACTTTGATCCTAGATCCTACTTATAACAACGAAATTTGATCATTTTCAACATCTTCTTGTTTTGGTATATACCATACACGTTAATTTAGAATATATTGCACAACTTTCCAATTATTACCAAGTTTGGGGTCATCCAAATAAAACACTTGTTGAGCTTCACCAGCGAGAAATTAACGGATCGTTTGCATACCAATATTTAGATGTATTAATCGACTTAAAAACTAAGTCAACTCAAATTTTATTCTTCTTAGAGTCTGTGTCAAACTGTTTGCACTTAAAAAGTACGACACGTCTCCCCTTAGCATAATCTAACTCCCAAAAATCACTCAAGACACCATAAATATTCATGTTATCCACTTCTCCTCCACACACCATGACCCCGCTATTTTGTGTCGTTCGACGACTATCTCGTTCTATATTATGAAAGCGTAGTCCGTTTACAATACGACCACTATATGAATGTACGGTTAGTGAGGGTCCCAACGCAAGTGAATAAAGATCATCATCTAATTCGCCTTGTTCCCGTCATGTCAAAACCTTTAATAGATCATAACAAAATACTTAATGATTTCGTTTTGTGTTCATCTACATTCAAACCCTAGAAATCAATATTACCTTTTTTTAACCAATCAAAAAATTGTGTACTGTGTCATTCATCTGGTAGAAACACTGTCTCCAGGAATTCGAATTGAGCTCAAATGTTGACTACCATCCCAAAAAACGAGAAAAACAACATTAGTGTTATATGTACTAGTGTGGAATTAAAGTGAACGCAGCATAAGCCGAACTTACTCGCGATACGACTCTATCTCTGCACAGTTGTTCAATACATACCAGTGTGCAACTTTTCTTTCAATGACAGATAATGTTTTCGAAGTTGATGCCCCTAGAGGACGTGCACTTAGCCTGAACACGTCAAAATGTCCACAATTTTTATAACCGACAATTGTATCATCGTTGCGTTCATCTCTATTGAATCTCGTTTCAATTCTAGTCAGATACAATGAGCAGAAAGTCAACGATTCATTCATGACGAATGATTCAGCTATCGAACCCTCAGGACGAGCTCTGTTCTTCTTTTGTGCATATTGTTTTAAGGTTCGGAGACTTCACCCGATAGGGTACGTCCAACTATAACTAACTGGCCCAACAATTTTTGCTTCGTATGGTAAGTGAACTGCAAAATGTACCATAACATCAAAAAATTCTGGTGGGAAATAATCTCTCCAATTTACAGAGTATGATTATAATATCAGATTGCAAATCACTGATGCATACTGTCTTTGCACATATATCACGAATGAAGTTACAAAGCTCAAAGATAGTCGTACCGACAAACTTTCGTACGTATGCTCGAGTGGCAATCAGTAAGAGTCGTAGCAAAACATGACAGTCGTGAGTTTTCAACCCCCATAGTCTCCCATCCTCTGCGCTCACACGTCTCGATATGTTTGACACAAATCCATTTGGAAACTTAGCTGATTTCAAAAATTTGCAAAACTTCACCCTTTTAGCAGTAGTCAATGTATACGTAGCATGTGGTTTTACAACTTTATTCCCCTCTTTTTGTAAGTGTAAATCTTTCTGAATTTTTAAATTTTCCAAATCCAAACGCGTATTGATTGTGTCTTTTGTTTTCCCATCAATAATTAAGAAAGTTCCTACTAGATTGTCGCATATGTTCTTCTCGATATGCATCATGTCCAACTTATGCCTTAACATAAGTTTTGACCAATAGGGAAGTTTGAAGAATATAATTTTTTTCGTCCAATTTAAATATCTTTTTCTTTTACTCTTTTGTTTGGTTGGGTTCTTACCAAAATCTGGGAAATTCAGTGTATTTACTTGTTGAAGAATCGCATCTCAATCAATTAGCACTGGTGGGGGGCGTCATTCTAACTTTCCATCATATAGTCTATTCCCACGCCAACTATGATTTTGAGGAAGATAATGTCGATGTCCCATGAACAAATTTTGTTTCTTATTCGAAACGATGAATTATCCTCTTTAGAAATGGGACATGCTTGGTATCCTTTCATACTTAATCCGGACAAGTCGCCATATGCTGGAAAGTCATTAATAGTCTATAAAAGAGCTACGTGTAGTTGAAAGTACTCACCAGTGGCACCACTACAAGAAATTTGAGATTTGGCGACCAAATCTTCGGCGACCAAATCAAATTTAGTCGCCGAAAGTATCTTTCGGCGACCGAACGAACTTTCGTCGCCGAAGGTCTGGCTTTCGGCGATGAAATCTTATGTGGTCGCTGAAAGTAACAGCTTTCGGCGACTACGCATAATTTCGTCGCCGATGGCAGGACCTTCGGCGACGATTTTATAAAATCGTCGCCGACGGTGGGACTTTCAGCGACGAACAAATAATTTCGTCACCGAAAGCACATTCCAGAACCTTGACGAAGATTCTGGATTGACATTCGGCGACG